TCTTTGACCCATGAGGTTAATTGAATGACTCCCTTGTTTCTTAAGTCTTGACCCCTCCTGAGTAAGCATACTGGACAATTCACTAACATTCCACTTATCCTTAATAGTGTTATAATTAATTTAAAAAGGTCCACACTCAGGAGGTAACGAGTTCAAAATAAACTGAACCAAAAAGGAGTCATCCACTTTCATCCCCAAGGTTTGAAGTCTTGCTACAATGTTAGTCATCTCGATGATATGGTTTTGCATACTACGCAACCCATCAAACTTCATGGTCGTGAGTTCAGCAATTAGTGTACCAGCGAGAGACTTATCTGCAGAACGAAAATGTTCTTCCACAAACTTCAGATATTCCCTGGCACTTTCTGTTTGTGGAATAGTACTCTTAATGTTGTTGGTAATATTCATTCGCATAAACATAAGGCTTAGCCTGTTAGAGCGTTCTCATGCTTTATGGAAAGACTTCTCATCCACACTGCTCGAATCAGTAATGGCAGCGGGCTTATCATTCAGCAGAGCCAAGTCAAGATCCATCCCACCTAAGTGAAATTGGACTTGTTCACGCCATTCAGAGAAGTTCAATCCGTTGAACACAGTAATAGACGAAGCAAGCGAATGAAAAGGAATAGCTGCAAAAGTATAATATATGCTCACAAATCAATATGGATTCAACAAAACAGTTAAAGCATATCGCAATTCTCCTTTGAGTAATACTATCATAATTTAAATGTCACTTAGTCTTTAATAGGTAATTAAATATTTTTAACTAAATATATATGCCATCTTTGGACAGACAATATATATTTGACTAAGAATATTAATTTACCTCATCATATTCAATATTCATAGAATAATTGATTCACCTTTGGGTAAATCCTTAAGTTCTAGCAATAGTGAAAATTAATTTATCCACTAATTTTTAATTATAGGCATTTTATTAATTTCATGGATTAACTATAATTTTATGTATGCATTTTTTTCATTAATGTACTAGTTTGGCCACTTTGGCGACTAACAAACTATATAAACATAAATGCACACATAAAATAAATATCTAAGGATTTTATGCTTGTGAATACTTTAAACAGTCTAGTTTAATCACTTTGATGATAAACAAACTATACAAACATTAATCACAAACATAAAATAAATTACAGCATAATAGCTTCAAAATATATAGGACAAGATACGGATAACATTCACACACATAACTCACGTCATAAAATATGTGATTAACGAGTTCAATATTGTCAACATTGAACCCGTTACTAGTGAAATGAAAAAATATTCCACAATCTACAACTATTAATTAAATAACATATTCTACAACATAACCATGGTAAATGTATAGAAGTTATTCCTCACGGTAGATTCTTATGTCAACCAATTTAAACACCAAAAATTTCTAGCAGAATCCTTTTAGTTAATCTTAAGGAATTATTATTCTTGAAGCCATAGTCTAAACTTCAACATAAATAATTTATTCCCTTTTTTTAAAAAAGAAAATTGGATTTTCTTATTAAATCTTCTTTTCTTAGATTAAGATATCATTAGACCGGTAAGTTTAAGAAGGAATGCATTGATATTCTAAATGCTCACAAGTATATTGGACAATAACCTAAGTTTATAAAAAGAATTTTTACCTCCTATAGCAAAGGTTGATACCTTATTTATTTTAAATAAATACCCTTTTAAAAAATTATATTCCATAGTTACCTTTTGATTTTTATAACCAAATATCTATTTATGATCACTTCCTATTTTTAAGCCATAAAATACGCCTGTATTATTTTTCTCTCTCATGTATTAAAATATTCGTCGTTTTCTATTTCTCCACTGTGTAAAACCCCTCAATTTCTCCTTCATTTTTTACTCCCAAATCTCAAACTCCAATGGAATACCCAATTCAGCTCCATCTCTGAAGCAAAAGTTGAAGAACTCCTTTTGCTTCTCCTGTTGCTTTCCTCACCGCCATCCTTCTCCTCCGCCTTCGCTGTCATCCTCCGATGATAATCCGGCGCTGATTTGGGAACCTAATAACCTCCCGAATTTAAAGGATAAGGTTTTTACTATTTTCAGCTTTGGATCTAATCGGCACAAGAGACAACACTCCTCCTCTACTAATCAGTTCCGTTATGATCCATTGAGTTATTCGCTGAATTTCGAAGATGAGTTTGATGATGAAGAAACCCCTTTGGGTGATTTCACTTCTCGACTCCCTCCTTCCCCGGCTGAGCAACTTGAATTTTCTGCTAATATATTTCAATGTATTTCAAAGTATCTCAATGTATTTATTGTATTCATTGTCTTTTTTTTTTCATTGTATTTCAATATATCCCGATGTATTCTATGTATTTCATTGTACTCACTGTCTCGCTATATTCCATGAATGTATTTCATATATATTTTTTAATTAATATAATTTATGTATTAAGATGTATTATATAATTTCTCTGAAGATTGCTATATGTTTTTGGGGTGTTTTTCGGTTGAAAATCTATTTTATAACTGGAAATACAAAATTTGTGTGTTATAATTGAGTTTGTTAAGTTATATTAGGAGTCTATTGTGTTAATTGATTCACTTCCGGTTTAAAAATAGTGTAATCCGCTATTTCACGCCGTGAATACAGTCGAATACAATAATCTGTCCAGCTGTAATCCCATGTTTCATGCCATGAATACAGTCGAATACACTCGAATACAAAAATTTGTCCATCTGTAATCCCCCGATTCACTGCATGAATATAGTCGAATACACTCGAATACAACAACTGATTAGCTGGATTTCCCTGATTCACGCCTATTTTTGCTACTTTATTCATGAATAAAGTAGCTTAACTACATCTAATACATCTTATAACAACAGAAAACATATCTACAATCCGTAATATAGCAAATGATATCTATAGATAGCTATTACCACTAAAAGATAATGCTTTATGAAAATTTTTCTTTATAAAATATGCGAGAAACTACAATAATGTTTTGTTCTTTCCTTTCGGTGCCGCCTTCAAGGCTTTTTACATTATGCCAAGTTTGTTTAAGGAAAAGGAAAATATAATAGATCAATCTTATACAGTCTCGTTGAAAAACTTTTCTCAACAAAAACCACGACGTACGAGTAAACGAAGATTATCTGTTCAAACTATCCGGGCTCGTGATACCACATGTAAGCATTAGCAAGATCTTAAACATGATAATCTTACATATAATCGTCATAGAAAATATACCTGAAGCGGAATCCATTATCGTGAAGCGGAAGCGTTAATTGAAATTGGTTTCTCGCCCCTTGCCCTAACTTTACGTTATCGCCGACTTTAGTGATGGAAGAGAATAGAAAATACGGTAACCTAATGGGTGGGGAGATGACCAATTTATAGAGGTTCTCACTTAATTTGGTACGTCCATCAAGTAACCAATCGGACGGATAAGATTTGATAATTAATTAAATATTAATTATGGTTCTTAACCTATTGGGCCACATACACGTAGAAAAAATAACTTACATTCCGGATCTTGCCTTCTTGTTGCTTATTTGAATGAAAAATTTGTTATAAATACGTAAAAACTTATTCTTATTTGACGTTTACACTAAATCAATATATTTGCACATATATATTTCTCGTTTGAAGATCATTAATTAATATATTCTCAACTCATTAAATTACTTAACCATTGATAAAATAGATTAGATATAAAAATACCTCGTAAGTTTTTACGGTTTAGTTAAGCTTTAATTATTGAAAAATGCTCATATCTTATACATAACCTAAGAATCCATGCCGCGATTTTTGCTATCAGTAATAGTTACATTGGATTTGGTGCCGTGATTCCATTTTTTTGGGCAACCTTCACATTCACATTTTAGGTAGTCATGACAGTTGTCTCGGAATAATAACAGCTATCAAAACGTAGTTTGGAAATTAGAACCAATACAATACCACAAAATTATTGTTTTATAATGTATGTTAGATTTTTTATCAGAATCAGTCTACCAACTCAAGGAAAAAGCTAGAATTGTTTTAGAATATATATGTATATCATACACTTCCTTTTACTAATGTAGCAAGTAAATAAGATTATATCAAGTTGGAGTTGTTAAAAAGGATTAGACTAAACATAACCATTTTTTAGGTAATAGACTAAACTTAAACATAGTAGTGATAAATTACTTGTAAGGTAAGCAAAGTATGTGATTTTGATTCCGAATAACTGATATAATGCTATGGAAATTAAAGTGACCTACAATATTTGATTGTAAAAGATTAGCGTTACAGTTTTGTAGTTATAAATTTCACTAGGTACTGTATAATATTCAAGTCGCATAAAAAAAATTCCTTTTTTTTTTTCACGAACTAGTCTTAGCTGTGACTAAATAATGAGTATTTAATGATACAATGAAGGAAAAAACACTTTTTTAAAATGCATGAGCGCCCCAGGCTCCCCACTTCATTTAAAGTACATTCACTCATGCTGACAAAATCTCATAAATCAAATACAGTTGCATCTAGATATATTATATTAAATTAAATAATGTAATATTAAAAATTATAAATTAAATTAAAGAAATATGCTTTTTCTATTTTATTTTATGTGATATTATTATTATCTAAGGTAAAAAATAGTTTGCACGGCAACTTTTGGAGTGTTTATTAAATATGAGTAACTATTATGAAATATGACTTATTACACTTTTATGAGGTTTTAAAATTTATAAGAGTTTTAGTTAGAAGTACATAAAATAATATGGATGAAGTACTAATTAACTTTCAGGCTATAGTGAGAGGGATATTATCAACTCTTAATTAGAGGTATCCACTTAAAACTTTTGAAATAGAGAATGCTAGTTAGGAAGCACATCCTTTTAAAAGATCCCTATGCGATATGAATATGAATTAATGAGCCAATAAATCTTAAATGCCGAATAATTAAATCAAAAGAACCTTATTAGAAAATAAAAAATATATGTAAAATATATAATGCAGCGAGTACTACTTTGATACAGACATTTGATAACTTTTTCCCCTCTTCCTTTCATGAGAAGCAAACTCTTGCGTTTTCATTAGTTAGAGAGAGAAGTGAATATAAACCAAAGCTAGCATCATACTCCAGAAGACAGCAGAGCATGGAGCAAAACATGCAAAACGCCGTCGTATTATTACTCTTATTCACCATCTCCATACTTTCCTCAAAACCACACGGCAGAGAGCTCCGTCCGTCAGAGCACGGCTTGCCATATCAACACTCGTCAAATATTCCGACCGCAAAAGCCGACGATCCACAATTGCATTCATTCTTCGCCGGCGCCGGCGGGAAATCGCCGCCGTCATCGTCGCTACCGGAGGCGAGGAACTTGACGTGGTGGAATAATACCGGCAATAACGGAGATGAAATGTCACGTGACAGTAACCGGAAAGATCACGTGAGAGAAGTGTTATTGGTTTCCAGCTTGGTTTGTGGAGTTGCTGGTGTTGTCTTACTCGCCGTTTCCGGGTTTGTTTTCGTCGTTAGGCTCCGAAAGAAAAAGCAAAGAGAAACGTCATTGTCAACGTCAGTAGATAACGTCGTCAACAAATGAACTAGTGCTTGGAATCCGAAAGGATAAGACTTTAGTTTCACTTTCTTTTTTGATTGTTATGTGTATGTATACATAATTCATAAATTAACAATTGAGATTCACTTTACCCTTTTTTTCCTTGCTTAAATTGGTTGCTGTTGTCGATAATTTATCTGTGCTTACTTCAGTATATAATAAGATCTGTGTCTGAAAGTGCACAAAAAAGTACAGCAGAATCAGATTGATTTTGCTAAGCATAAAGCTTAAGCTGATCTCTCAGTACTGTTTGTTCAGTTGTATTATATTTGATTATTTGTAAGTGTACAAGAAGAAGCGAGAAACAGCTACATGAAGTAGAAGAAAACATAATGTATAAAACAATATCAGTGTTTTTATAAATTCTCATAATCTAATAAATGAGCGTGGGGGTGGGGGCCGGGTTATCCTTACAGATAGATAAATCCAACGTCTTTGAATTTGTGAAACAAAATTCGAAGTTATCTGGCTTCATTATACTTTGAACAGTTTGCATTTTCGACAAGATCGTGCAAATTAATATCTTGCATGCAATTCCTGACCCTGTGGTGGTTGCTGAAACTTCAAATCATTATCATAATAGAATTGGGAAAAAGTCCAAATTTACCCTTAAATTATGTGAAAAGGTTTAAATTTGGCCCTCATTTATAATTGGGGTTAATTATTCCCTCACGAAAGTACAAAATTAGTACACATTTACCCTTATTGACTAACAAAATTACCCCACAGCACCAAAGATCACCGCATCTCCACCTTCTCCATAAACAAGTTTGTCATTAATTTCTGGTGTTAGAACTTGAAAATGGGGTCTTCTTCTATTAACGTTTCGAACAAAGAAGAGACGGTAATTGAGTCTGAGGCACCATAATATATATAAGCTCCCCACCCAATCATTTATTTATTTATTTTACTTTTATTTCCCCTTGTTCCATTTCCGTTTCTATCGATAAAGAGCAAAACAACATAGCTCCCGAAAAATTATAAGAGCGAGAAAGCCAAATGAACATTGATAATGGACATGGTTTCTTCAGAACCAATTATTAATGAACACGGTTCCCTCCCCCCAATAACCAAATCCAAAGTCCGAGCCAGCGTGATTGAGTTCGGATGGCCAAAGTTTTAAACATCCGGTGTTCAAAACCGGATGCCTCACTAATTGGAATTCATGTCACATAATGAAAATCCCTTCTCATTAGGAAAGACGGATCCCTAGTACCATCCCATTACAATTGTTGGCAAACATTTCTCATTAGATTGGTTTTAGCATTTCCATTCATAGATTTGAACACACTATTAGTTGACTGCATAGCCATGTCAATGAGCTGTTACTTTCTTCAACCATTTGTTTAAAAATGGAAAATTCGACTCTCCCTCCCCGCCCCTTTGACAGCAATTCCTGCACTTGACGTCGGATCTCCTCATTTTCAAATGGGGATAAGCGACAAGCCGCTTTGCAGGGTAGACTCGCTCCTGACTTTTTACATTACGTTTATAGAGGATTCATACCAACAAAAGACATACATAGCCAAAGGTTCTCCATTTCCCTGAGCTCGGAAGAAGGAATCCCATTACACTCCTTGGTAATTGCTAAGTATATATTATGATTTGAGCAATGCGAACCCCGGTTGATCAATTCTGCTACTAGCTCTCTTCATGTTTTGCCCAAAATGACTTGGATTCATGTGCATAATTTAGCCAAGAAAACACACACTAAGAAACAAATAGAATGTGCAGGAGAATACAACAGCATGGATAACCCAATATTTCTGATTCAAAAGTTCATAAATGTACTACTTCCAAAAATGCAAATGGTAGGGAAATAGCAAAAATTTCTAAAATCTTATATACACCTATTGGTCAAGAGGGATCCACTCTAATTCTAGTTCAAGTTCTCCAGATTCAACATTCTGCAGCTTAAGATTTACTTCTTGTTTCACCTTCCCGTCCACGATGTTTACAGTGCTATCATCCATTAGGGCATTATCATTTGATTTTAGCCATTTTCCAATCTGCATGTTACCAAACATTCCAGCATCTCCGAATGCCATTGCAGAGGTTATCATAGGCTGGATGTCTATTTCGGCCTCCCCCATTATATCATCAGCAGAAAACGTATCATGATCGTACACTTGCTGCAGTTCCAAGTAAAAAGAGAGAAGAGAGTAATGGTTAATTGATGCATAACCAAATGAATGCAAGACAAGAGTAAGGATCCAGCTTAACATTTCCAGAAATAAAAGGAGAAGCGGCAAGTTAGTGATTTGTAAGTTTTGTGTGTCAGTATTGAGTTCTAACAAATGATCAAAGCAGAGGGCAATGGACTTTATTTAGTCGAATAGCTTTTGTGAAAGTCAAACAAGTGGCTGAACAAAAAGTTCAGGCATCCATTTGACCGGATAAATACTGTCAGTATTACCAGGAAAATAGCTCTTACACATAACCAAAAAAAACAACCAAAAAAATCACACTTCCCTTCTGAAATGAAGTTCCATAGGCAATGCATATAAATGAAGCATTAATTTACCTCTATAGACAAGAATTGACAAGAAAAGCTACTGGTTATTTCAGGAAAAAAGCTTGTCTGCTGGTTAGCTAGACTGAGCAAAAAGCAAATAAGTTGAACAGATTTGCTGTTTTGCTCAAAGTAGGAATAAGATAGAAACAGATTCTCAGTTCAAGGACGAAGTACACGAATTCGTATAATAGGAAAAGCATATCAAAGGAAAAAAGTTGAAGAAAGAAGTGGAAAGTGATGCAAAATTATACATTGAGTCTCATAAAGTAAGATACTTAATGCCTTCTCTTTCTACTATGGACACTGTGTGATTGATTTACCACTTCTGAGTAACTCTTGAAATGCCAGAACCAAAGTGTGTACCTATAACATGTAATACTTATTGCCTGCTGAAGTAAATAAATCATTATGCTGGAGTAACTCTGATGACGGTAACAGCAGCTCATCAAAATTGTAATATAACTCTAAAATCCCTGCGTCGTTAATTCAGTTACTGCATTAAAAACCGCTGGTGCAGACTGCGGTGCAGAGCAGGAGCTCTGATGAGATTTCATGCTTGCAACAGTCTCTATAAGGCTTACTGATGTTTAAAATATAGTACAATATGTGTTTGCTTTTTTTCTTTTTTCCATTTTTCTAGCTCAAGCTGAAATCTGTGACAATGCTTTTTAAGTCTCCGAAAATTAGGATCGTCCCATTAGATCGTTCTAAACAAAGTATAATTAAAACAAGGCAATGCAGTTCCAGTCAATAATTATCTCTGTATCTTACAGTAAATGGCCTCACAAAATTATGCAAGTATATTTCTCTACCAAAACCTGATTGGTGCTGCTTCATTGGTCAACCGTGAAAATCAATTACCATAAACTTGCTCAGAAGAAGACAACCAATCAACTGCAATAATTTTCTACTTTACACCACCATTTTCATCTTTCTAACACCATTAAGCTCCATGAATCAAAGTTAACCCATTCAGCAATCAGAAGTAATTACATATTCTGAACAGTGAATGAGGAATGACATACTTGTCAATTGATGTACAGTGTTCACTAGTCAGCTTCAAGCCAATAAAGATCCAAGTATGCTAACCAAGCAATATATCTGATCTTCTATAATTAATAAATGGAACTTCTTGTTTCTTATCAAGCTGCTTATGCGGCATCATCGAAGTAAATCATTGAAGAGTTATATGTATAAAACTACGCAGACCGAGAAGAAGGAAAATAAAAAGGAGAGAATGGTTACTCAATATTGTCCGAGAAAGGTGGAATGGAATTATTACCAGTTTTACAGCCCCATAATCTTGCGGAACTGAAAGCATTAGTTCCTCATTCCAAACTGGATTCAAATTGCTCTTTACGACTGTTGTTTGCACTTTCTGAATAAAAGAACCAGGTAAGAGAGAGAAACACACGGAACCAATTTATACTTGTCAGTCCTTCAAAAGAGTACGTATAAGTAGGAATATGCAGCATCAGAAGGTCTAAAAACTTGCCAAGCAAAACACAAGGATGTTCTGTATACTACATTCTACCCACATCATGTAGAAAACAAGGGGAAAAGCCAGGATCTTCAAAATAAGGGAGACGACTATCAGGAAATTCTACCAAATTCATTCATTTATTCAATGACCAAGAACAAAGGCTTCAAACCCTTTCCTTCTCTTCATCCCCATAATCAAATACCATGACAAAGGACGACTAACCTGCTTGCCAAGAGCCAGGACAACATAAGGATCACTTGAGAGCATATCTCTGATGGCTAAGTTTGTTCCTTTAATTACTTTGACCTTCAGCATTCCAATGAATTCTACCATGCCTTCCTGTGACCAAATTGAGCATTAACAGCAGAAATGATCACGAAAGCACAGTGACCCTTTTAATGATATTTTCAACATTTATGCAAAATAATATACTGCTCGTTGGATTAAGTACATATTTACAAACAAATATAAATTTCTTGACCACCACTAGCCTCAACTAGAAAAGGAATGTCTCAGACACCACAAGATATATTTTGACACATCAACAAGTATGCACAAATATACCCTAGTGAGGTACTTATTCACTCTGTCATAGATATTATCAACTATTCCACAAAAGTCCAACATTGTGAAGTAGAAGACTGTTAACTGGAAAGAGGATGAAGATTGGTACATGGGAGAAATTTAGAACTTACAGATTTTTGTGAACTCGAACTTGAACTTCGAAAGCTGTCCGTGATCTTGCTGGATAAACTTGTTTTAAGAGAACTTTTTTTCGGATTTGACAATATACGCAAGCTTGGTTTCAAGAATTCTTGACGCTCATACTTAGACCTTTAGAAAAAAAACATGCTTACATCAATGAAAAAGACCTACAACTCACATAAAAATTACTCAAGGCTTTTATTTGTTCCTTCATCAGTAAGCAGCACAGAAAAGCCAAGAATCAAAGGAGCAAATGAAGGATATGAGTCATGACTGCTTCATATATCTTACAGATCAGAAATGTCTAGAGAGTACAATCACCCAACGCCATGCACAGGGAATGCAATATGAGCATGTCTCCTGGATGCTATCAGGACTAAGCATTAATGCTAGA